TGTAACCAAGTTATTAAGATCTAAAATAAGTTAATAATAAGTGTACCTACACTTTAGAATATACTGAAACATTCAAATATTCTCGAAGAGTGGTGCTAAAACTTTAATTATATTATCGTATTTGTGAATTACTCCTTAGATTATCCATATAATAAATCAAATATAATCCTTGCAGTTAATATAATATACCTTAGTGCTTAGGGTGCTTAGACCATTATTATTTTTAATGAATACCTATAGTTAAAATGTAAAATGCTATAGAGTTATGCTATAATTATTATGTATCCATTTACAAATTATTTAAATTCCCCATATTTAAGAATATAGGGACAAAAAAAATAAACAAATATAATCATTCACGTTCCTTTAAAATGTGAACGAAACTCTGTGTTCCTTCGTACAAAAAAGTAACTACGTTTCGTTTAAGTTCCAAAAAATTGAACGAAATAATTGGAATTAGTTACCTTGAATGCGTTAATTTMAAGCATTGAGACAAGTAACTATTTATAATATTGTTCATATTACATGCTACGATCTTAAGTGATCTACCTACTATAGTACCTATTACTAGTAGTTATTTGTATTTTGTATCTATTTTGTATTGATAAAAATAAATAGGTATCGGAAATATTATGCCTATATATATTTTTAATGAAATGAAAACGTGAGAAATGTATTATAATAATAATAATAATAATAATAATAATAAAACAATCAATTTTATAATAATTGATTTTGCAATAGTAATTATAATACAATTTAATTAAGTACGATCAACAATACAACATGAAATCTTAAACAAATATTTGATCAAATTTAGCCCATATGTATAGAGATTTAGACCTTGTAACAAGATGAGGAGGATATGTATATTATTTATTACATATTATAGGAGTAGGTTAGTATAGGTAGCTTACTTATGGTAAACCTATATATAACCTAACTATTGATAAATTATATGTGACATCGAACCCTTTAATTATTATAAAATAATGGTGACATTTTACGCAGTAAAACTATACTGTATGTTTTAGTATGCTTCAATATGGCATTACATCAAACGGAAATTATTTACTTTCGAAATGTATGTATAACATGCATCGAATGTTTTACTATGATATCAAATTATTTCATTGTTAATATTATTATTTATTTATTTTTTGCTAGGCGTAAATATTGATTATATTATCTTTTGATAATTTAATATAAMATATATTGTAACGATACGAAAATTAAATAAAAATATAAACTACTATATAATAATTGTTGATCTCTATAAACACTCCTATGATAATTGTAATTACCATAACTAATGGTCATGGATTCTGGGTTTTTGCGATCAATAAAAAAAAGGTTGTTGAATTATTGAATTATCATGAATTAAATAAAAGGTACCTATTTAAATTAAAAGGGATAAATAAATTATTGAATTTGAATTAAGTCAATTTATTTTTCTTTATTAAATACAGCCTACTATTTTATTTATAATTTTTGTTTTTTCTATTAATTCAAATTCAGTTATTGCTGTCATTATACATTTATTAGAGTATAAATAACGCATTGTATAAAAGCAGTTTTTAGTTTATATGCAACCTATTTAGATTTTATATTAATTTTATCGATTTTATATTTTTATTGCCTATTTAATTTATTTTAAAAGATGTACAACTGTTATTTAACATGATGAATATTTTTGAGTACCTAAAGGAATAATCCCTTATATCTTTTAAAATATTAATAAATCAATAAACGATATCAATTGCTATAAGTAATGGATATATAAAAAGCATAATATTATATGCCCTCTGGTTAATTTCAGGGACGTCCTCAAAGGGGGGGAGGGCGAATGGTGCAATAGCCCCCCCACGATCTTTATTTTTATTCTTAAAGTGTTTATAATTTATATTATAATATCACACTAGGGAAAAAGTATATAAGTACGCTGTAAAATCATGTAATATCGTATATTAGATCRAAAAAAAACCAATGTTATCACTACGATAAAAAAAAAAAAAACAAATATTAACAGTTATAACATTATAGAGGTATAGTCATACCTGAATCCAATAAAGCAATAGTACACCAATTGTAATACTTACAATAAAAGATTATATACCTGCAAGCTATTAATAACGGYAATCCTACTTATAAATTATATTAAAATCTACAACCGTTGTTCAATATTACGTMTATCTAATATTGAGTTGGCAAATAGCTATAATAACTATTATTTATGGAAATTGCACCTATGTATTATTATTTGGTTTTATTACAAAATATTTTATATTTACAATGGAATATCTAATAATTAAAAAAAAAATCAGTGTAATATAAAAAACTTGCAGTAAATTACACTGTTGAGTAAGTTAAAAATGTTTTATTTTTAATCTTTGACATTTAATTGAATGGAAATTTAATAACATCATTTATAACTGAGTTCGAATATTGACAATTATTACTTATATTTAGAAGTATCAAGTAGGTATTCTAAAAGAAGAGAAATAATTCATTACGTTTGCGTTTCTCCAAAATAATTAATACAATTTATTAATATTGGTTTTTTAAGTATTACATAACAGTCATAACATAATTTCATAATTTTTGTTGTACGATTATTTTTAATTTAAAGAATTAATGAATTTATTTATTTTCAAATTAAATATTATTTACATCTCTGTTATTTTTGTTCAAATGGGGATACAATTTAATGTTTAACCTATGTAAATACTAAATAATAACTAATCACTTCAATCTCATGTCCTCTTTTTAACATTGCACCTCGAGTAATGTCATACATTAATATTTTTTTATTAATTACATAATTTAATGATTAAAAAGTTTACCTTGGGATCGACCACGTACAAGCTTCTATCCGTCTCATTTGTCGGTAATGGTCTTATTCTCACAGCCACCTACAACAGTATGTTAACATTAAATTTAGAAATTGTACCTAMCTATTGTGATGTTTTTTTCTAATTATCATAATACTAATACATGAGTTAACATGTGATAATTAGTTATAGCCTGTTAAAATTTAATGTTATCTGTTTGAAACTCAAGTAAAGGAGTATAAAATGTTCGTTCATGATTTGATTTCAGCGAACGAACAATAAAGAGCATTATAAGAATATAACATTATAATATAATATAATATAATATAATATAATATAATATAACATTATAACAATAAAGAGCATTATAAGAATATAACATTATAACATTATAAGCATTATAAGGGCTAGAATTATTAAAATACATTAAGTCATTTATTTTATTATTGAACATAATGAGTCAATGAGTGCGTCATCTATTATGCATGAAATCTAGTCTTTAAATAAGAATTTATAACATAATTTATTTATAGGTATCATATAGAATAGAAGAAACTAGAAATCACTATAACCAGTATCGCTTAGAACGAGATACTGCTTACAACAAGCAAAACGTWAGGTCCCGGCACGAGCCTATATGATTGTATGTTAAAATATACGTTTACAACGAGTATGGTTATTACAAGTTATCGACTATAACAGTAAAATAAAATTATAAAACGAACTTGACTAACGACCTTCCGGTTACCACGAACAGGTACCTGCAAAACTAAAAACTTTTGGCTATTATTTAGGTCGATTAGTCATTGACATACGTCATACATTATCTTTAGTTGTATTGATATGGATTATTTATTAATAAAAAACATTATTCCTACAAATTCTGGTGTTTTCAACTTCATAAAAAATACAAATAGCGTCAGTTGTGTGAAGACGTTCCAACATGTCGTTTCGTCAGTTTACGTTGGATGAAAAAAATCGGAATAATCGGTCGTTTAGAAGATGGTGAAACAGCGTAGTCGCGAAAGAATTTGGTACCTCTTCGTCGACAATTTCAACCATGTGGAAGAATCGAGATACGTTGAAAAATATGTTTCAAACATTCAAACCACGTCACATAATGCAAAACCACTGCGCACAGCATAAGAACCTTGAAGAAGCTGTACTAGTATGGTTCAAACAACAACGGTTATTGAATGCGCCTATAAGTGGTCCTATTTTGCAAGTAAAAACTAACCAACTGGCTGAATAAATGAAAATTTCAAATTTCAAATGCCCTGCATTTTGAATTAAGCGTTTCCGACAACGGCACAACATTGGTTTCTGCAAGATTTCAGGTAAGTCATCTGCAGTTAATACTGTTAATTATTTTAATTGGCTGGCTGATGTTTGGCCATCCCTTCGAGCAGGTTTCTGTAATAAAGAAATTTATAATGTCGATGAAGCCGGGCTTTTTTCAAATGAACTCCCGATAAACCTCTTCGCTTCAAGGGGGAAAAATGCCTGGGTAGAAAATTATCCAAAAACAGAATAACAGTTTTAGTGGTAGCCAACATTACCGGGACTGATAAAAGAAAACTTCTTATTATTGGAAAGTCAAAAAGCTCTCAGTGTTTTAAAGGAGTTTCATCACTTCTAGAATTTTATGAAAATAACACCAAAGCTTGGGTGACCTCTGCAATTTTTAAAAAAACTCTTAATTTTTGGGGTGATGATTTACGCCGTAAAAATTCTACTGATGGTGAACAGCTGTCCAGCACACCCATCATTGCATTTGAAATTTATTTAACTYGTATTTTGGCCCGCCWWCACTACTGCTGTACTTCAACCGATGGATCAGGGCGTTATAAAGATCATTAAAGCTCATTACTGGAATCAGTTGGAACTGAAAATGATCGAGGTTATTGAGAATCAAGTAGAATCAAAAACAACTGTTATTAATAATGCTGGATAAAGCTTGGCGTAATGTAACATCGACGGGTATTGCTAATTGCTTTCGGCATGCAGGTTTTTGTGACGTTTCGATCGATACTACACAGATACAAGCAGACTGTGGATTAGATTAATCCCCATCGATGAGAACTACGTACAGATTGATGGCGAACTCATAACGTCAGAAATTCAAAYGGATGAAGATATAGTCAWCAATGTCAAACCTAGCCAACGAGTTGAGCCAGATAATTATACTGATATCGATAAGCTTGATGATGAGTTTGAAACTGTGACGTCAATATCCGAAGCTTATGCTGCATTGAGGACACTAGAAAGATTTTATTACACAAAATATGAATGTACA